GGCTGAAGATAAAATAAGATACTTAACTTGTCAGCACTGGGAATGACTAAAGGATCATAAGTTTCTTCTCTGTGTTCCAAGGTAGGAACTGCAACTGTCATGGATACCATATCCGATGCACTTTCAGCCTGAATTGAAATAAAAACAAAATAAGTACTTCATTGATATAAAATAAAAAATAAGCATGTACATAAATAGCTCGCAATTCTTCTGTATTTACATATCTCACACACATATCTTCACATTTACCTGCATACCGCTCAATTCTTTCCTCTCACATCAAAACTATCACTAATTATCACCGTTCACAAGTCAAATCCATCTTTTCATGCATACGTAAAGTGAGAGTTTTGGTGTGAGATAGGTATATACATAAGAATTCCATCTTATGTACGTAAATTTACCGATAAGAAACGGCATGATCGTCGACAATATAGTTAGATGGCATCACTGGAGCATTTGTAATTAAAAAAAAAAGTGAGCACAGAAATTGGCACAATAATACACCCTAATCTTCATTAGTATTTGCATATACTGAAGTTCCAATTGGCACAATAATACACCCTAATCTTCATTAGTACTCGTATCTACTGAAGTTCCCTGTCTTATAACAGTCAACTCCAGCCTAGACCAGGCTCAAGCCGGTTGTAAGTTGACTTTGGCCCCATGAATGAACTCGGCTATGCACAAGATTTAAACTAAGATTAGATTTGATATGTAATTGTTTTGGATTTTGACTAAGGTAACAAAAAAATTTGCTTAAGGGATTAATAATTACTAATTAACTATAAGAAACTAAATAAAAAGAGTAAAAAATGTTTTTATAAAGATTGACAGATGGGCAAAAAAAGAGAGTTTGACCACGCAACAAGAGCAGTAATTAGGGATGTATGTTTTATGAAAAAAGAAAAATAATCAAAATAAAAAATTAACTATTAATGGGATGGTGAAATTTGAAATACGGAAAAATTTATCTTTTAGAAAAACTTGTTGAGATAAATTAAGATTCTTTAGTTAATCAAAATTTAACGTAGGACAGTATGACTGGTTTCATAAGAAGATTGTCATAAAAGTTATAAAAGAGATGGATCATATGCTGATAAGGACTTGTTTTTAGGGTGAGGTGCTAAATATTACCAAGGACAATAATATGGTTTTAAAAATTATCAAAAATTGAATATTACTAGACTTGCAATGATTATGAGAAAGGTAGATATTTATAAAGACTGTGGAGAGCTAAAACCAAAAAATATTATTTTTTGCGATTAATATAGCTGGTTTGAGAATACTCTCATTGCCACATCCTAAGCCCCGGATATTAAAAGTAGAGAGTTGTGTTAGGTAATTGACAACCAGCATAATTTTTTTGTCGAAAAATCATAACATGAATCAATTAAATCATTATGTAAATGCTAGAGAGTCTCATGCGTTGTATGGCCTGAAAACAGTGAAAAGTGAGCAAGGGCCGCTACACCAGTGTCCAGGTGTAGTGTTAAATATGCAAGAATTCTCACATTATGGACGGATGCAAGCACAAAGTTAGTCCATGTAACTAATTTAGGATAGGACATTGAATATAGATATTCTCACAAATAAATTAACGAAATAAAGAGATATGAAGGTTCATAGAAAGACAAATATCTTGGAGTTTTGTTTGCATGTCAAGCTTTAGGCCCTTCATAAAATGCCCTTTCAATCCCGCATCAGAATTCCTATCAGTCGTCCCAACAATAGCTCGATCTCAACTTATATTCATGACAATTCCCTCCTGATTCAAAACATAGAATTGTTTGTGTAAGTCTCCTTCTCGAATAACTCGAAAACTTTCCAACAATCTTTAAATTCTTCCAACGAACGAATCGGATATCAAGCCTCCCTCCACTAAAACCATGCTAGGGTTTTCTCCCTCAAAACATAACCCTGCCGCCATGAGCTTCTCCTCCTCCTCCGTTAGCCCATTCACCAAGAAGAATCGCTCTATTGATACACCCACCCATGTGCACTTTCCCCTCGAAGATTAGCATCTTCAATTTCCTAACCCTAACATCAACAACTCAACTTCATCTCTCTCTGCAATTTTTCCCCAAGTATCAAGGGTAATACTCCCTCCTTCGATCATAATCATTCCCATCCCAACTTCTCTCATTTCTTCTTTGTGCTTCTCCATAGCCCTTCGCATAACTCCTCCATGTTTCAAATGAACAACATCCATAAGAAAACTCTAATCCACCCCCTATTGGAGTCCTAAGAGGAAGTTCTTGATGGTGGATGCTTTCCTCTTCGGGTTCTTCTTATTTGATATCTTACCATTTTGAATTATCAAATGACTCTCTGGTCAACCATTAGTTAGGTTTTGCAAACTAAACTGTTGGCGAGGACTTGGATTGCATCTAAATAAGCTTCCTCAACATGTCCTCCAAGCTCTCGAATTGCCCCTCAAATCAATTTTTCAAGGTGGAGACCTTTCCTTCTATGGTGAACATTGCCTCCATCCCAAATCTGATTTGAAGCATCTCTTCCTCCAATTTTTTCTCTAAATCATATATTTTCTTCGTTTTCATTACTCCCCGAAAATTCTTTTATCACAAAAGACGGAAACGTCTGCGCATTGAAATCTCATCGATTGGTTCGCAGATACGTATCGCGAGATTGTGTGCCCAATCTCAATAGCGTCGATATCGAGTAAGTTGAAATACAGTAGCTTCGTACGGTAAAATCGCATCTGTAAGTTAAAATTGGGCATATAAATCTTATCCATTAATCAATCCATCGATCCTTCTTTGATAACACACCTCATTCCTTCTCCTGCCAATAGCTTGAATCGCATCACTATAGTCGTGATCCCGTCATATGGCTCAAACGCATTGGGAACAGATGAAACCCAGAGTTTCGGGTCTCTAGAAGCCGCTATCCCGCCTTTGCTTTCCGTGCTTGATCGCGCTTCTTCGCATAAACTCATAGGAGAAGGAAGATGGGAGATTTGGATCTTTCTCGTGAGCCTGTACATCGTGATTGTGTCGATGCTTGAGGAATAACAACAATCCAGTTGTCTCTGGATTTTGCAGCAAGGTTGAAGGCCAAAAGCTCAATCCATTCGATTTTCGGGTCGAACGCACTGAAACCAATTTGATATGATTCGATGCGGCAAGATTTTCCAAAGAAATTAGGGCAAACCAATATATTTCTTCAATACCATCAAATAAAAACAATAGATCACGATCAACTTACATGAATACAAAAGATAAGCACCTACAATTCGAGAAATATGCGATCTCTCTCAATTCCTATAATTCGAGAGGTAGAAAATCTCTCTCAAATTCTAAACCTAAGAGTCAACAATAAACTCATGTATAACCTAACGCTAAACATAATAAACCTAATTATATCCAACAATAATAAAAGACTAACTTGCCCTTAGGCATACAAAAGAACAAATTGCCCTCTAGGTTAGGCACCAGCGTAACATAGATCTTAAAAGACTTGGGCATGTTCTATAAAAAATGATATTAATTTATTAGAATTAAATGAAAATATGACACTCACTAGGCACAGTGAAGAAAAAGAATTCATGTAGCCAACCCCACTTAGTGGGAAGAAGGCTTATTGTTGCTTTTATTATTGATATAGTTGGTTTGGTATTAAGAAAGGAGAATATAT